GCGCAAAGCAAATACTCTTGCAGCTACTAGCGTGGTGGCTTTTTAGTCCCATATATTTGAGCTTTAGCTGTGATAAAGGCTGATTTTTTTTTTTTTAAGGACAGCTTTACCTACTGGGCTGGTTTTAGATGATCCACTTGCTGGTGAATGCCACGTAGTAGAAGGCAATGCTCAGATTCTCCGAGTTCCCAACAAACAGCCTTTTTCCATTTGATTGTCTGTGGTCTGAGTATGTGGCAGCATGGACGTATGAATAATTTGTTATGCTGGAAACTTGGAGTAGAGGCTGGCTTACTAGGGAAAAAAACACTACAGATACTTTATTATACTTATGGTTTGGTTTAAATTTATATTTTCAAGAATAGATAATTCACAAATCTCTGAAGTGGTTAGTTCAGCATTTTTACAAGTATTTGAAATCTGCATCCTTTTGTTGGTCAGCTGTAGCCCCAAAGATTATTTTTTCCCCAAGTTGGAATTAACAGATATGGTACACATAGGATTTAAGAGTTTTGTCTTTTTTTGATTTGCTTTCTAAAGTTGATCCTTTTCTATGTTACATTGAAGTCTGTTTGGTTTTGTTATATAATCTTTTCAAGTAAAAAAAAAAAAAAATCCTACTAAATTATTTAGGCATTCCGCAAAATTTTTATTTTATAGTAGGAATAAGCTAATTGGTGCAGCAAAATTCGGGGGGGGAAGTCTGCCTCCAAATCCCAACTTTCAGCTCCTACCCCAAAATAAGTCAACAAACCCCCTGAAGTGTACTTAAAGACCATAGTAATAAAGCTCTTGGAAACAGTCCCACATAATACTGTGAAGATTTGGAGAATAACTTCCCCTTCTTTATTCCTGCTTCTTGCTGCACATTTCCATTCTCCCTTTGTGACCAAGTTTATTGCAGTAACAGAGAAAAACTGCTGTTACCATATTTTTTTCAGGTAGTCCAGGACTTATTTTAAAGAAAATTTGCCCAGAAAGCAACTCTGAAGATGCAGGAGAAACTAGTTTACTAGAAACTAGGTCTTGTTATGAAAGGAACATTGAAGATATGAAACTTACCCTCAAGGTTTGGAGATTAATAATTTCAGTATTTAGTACTGTTGCTTAGTACTTAGTATTCTTACTATTTAGTATTCTTGCTGTAGAGCTTTTCAAATACTACTATCCAAATACAGAGCAAAATACATAATGGGAGATATATGATTTATGCATAAAATATAAGGAGAAGAGAGGAAGAGGTAATGTTATTTTTTTTATAAATCCACTATGCATGGACTTCTATGATAAGGAAACAGAAAAATTCTATGTAAATAGCATAAATAATCCTTTTTACTGTATATCGATACTAGTTTAGATTTTGGCTCTATTTAGATCTATTACACAGGAATAAATTTAGAAGTTTGTTTTAAATAACTTACTAAAATGATAGTTTTTATCAATCTTATGATGAAGTAACACATCTTGAAGGAGGTCTACAAAAAGCATTGTTTTCATGCAAGGTTACAGTTCAAGATGACAAAAAATTGGTAATAAACTTTTCATTGAAACTCAAACTTTTACACCAAATTTGTGATAAGTCAGACTTTGCAAATTGAAGTAAATGATAAAAGTTGGTGGTGGGGGTGGTTTTTTCCTTCCTAAATCCTAGCTTAAATTTGAGTTTAATAAATTTACTTCATCCCAAGAAATAAAATCTTGATGCATCCCTTTGTTACTGCTGGCTGACAAAATTCTCTTTTGTGGGTAAAAGGGACGGTGTTAAAGTAACCTTGGGGTCATGGGGCGGGATTGTTGCATGTTAAATCTCTTCCTGATGACCTGCAAAAATTGACAAAATAGCTGGTAATGTTATTTTCTTTGGAGAAAACAAAGATGTACAAATATCATCAATGTAAACCACACCTTTGTGTGTTCGTTGTAAAAGAGCAGTCGTCCACTATGAAACTGATTTTGTTTCCTTGAAATGAAAGCAAAATTGAAAAAAGAAAAAAACGTCAGAACTAAAAAACCCTAAACAAAAAACAACCCCCCAAAAAACCCCAAACTGAAATCTGTGGGCCAACCTATATATGACAAATAATTACTTTTCTTTACTCTCTTTACTCTCTTCTCATGAACATGGCTATCTAAATGCTAGAGGATTTCCACCTTCACCGCTGGAAGAGCTGTGATGAAGGCTGACTTTAATGCTCCTGCTGGGTCCCTCAGCTGCTGCGGTGCAGTGGCCAACATCTAGCGTTAGGAACCTTACGAGCTGGCCAGTAACTGTAACACGGGCTTTGACCGTATTGCCTGCGAGGTGCCCTTGTAAAGGTATAGGAGTTTGCCTGCCATATTTTGCTGACCCAGGATTTCCTTTTAGCGCTTCGCAGCAGGGGGCTGTATGGGGCACTGGCAGCGGGGGGCTTCAGGGGCCTCTGAGAGGACAGGCTGGTCACAGCCGGTTCCAGCTGGTTCCAGCCGGCTGGGGGCGGGATGTGTGTAGAAGACTGGAGTGAAGGAGTGAAGTTAAGCCTGGGAACAAGGGGAGGAAAGGCTTTGGTTAAATGTTTGTGTCTGTTTCCCGCTACCTGAATTCGTAATTAAGTTTTTACTTTGGCTGGCGATATGTTAATTTTCCCTGAGTTGAGTCTGTTTTGCTGGCAACGGTAGCTGGTACGTGATCTCCCCGTCTCTGTCTAGACCTGTGAGCTCCCTTGTTCCCCTTCTGCCTGTTTGCTACCCCGGTCCTGCTACGGGGGAGGGAGTCTGGCTGTTAGCCAGACCGGCACACCACAACAGGATACCGAACGCAAGTTCAGTATTGCTCTTTAGGACGTGACAATTCACATCACAGATCCATAATGCTGCTTTTGTGTAGCTGTGTGGAAGAAAGATGTCTTACCTTAGTGAACTTTGTAGAGGGGAAGGAGTGTGACGGTGGGCTGACTGGATGGGAGCCTGCTTAGAAATGAAGTGGTGGGTTGAATGGAGAGTTGTGCTTTAAAAACAAACAAACAAAACACACAAAAAAAGAAGGAAAAGAAAAAGAGGGAAAAAAAGGGAAGACACATGCTTTGCAACCCTGGAAGAATTGAAGGAGTTTGAAAGAGTCACAGATGGGAAGTAGGGAAAGAAATTAGTACCCCCTGGGCTGTGAGGGAGAGCCCTTTGTGGCATACTCTTAGATAGCCAGTGACCTAGTAGGAAATGTTTTCGTTTCCTGAATAGGTTAGAGAAAGTATAAACCAATTATCTGCTTATACTCTCTTGATTTCAAATGCTACTCTTTTAAACATGCTTTAGATCTTGCACAATGAAAGGCTTTTGATTTGCAGAAGAAAGGTGAGATATGTAAAAATGATTTCACATCTGATGAATAAGTTGTCTTTGGGTGGGAATGAATCACTTATTTGGAGCAGGTTGTAAAGGTTCAGATTTAAGGTTTTTTTCTCTGTTTTTAACAGATGATAGAATATTTTACTGAGTGGCAGCTTACTTCATACACATTTTTAGTTCTTAATAGAACAGTCTCATTGCTGCAGTTAAGCAGTATCTTTTAGTTTTCTGATCTAAAATGGATGCTATAATCTGATGTTTGGGTCTGGTAGGCAGGAAAAATAATGTACATAAATAAGACAATACACAATTTACAACATCCAGTCTAGCCAAGAGAATCTTGAACTATCTAGATGCCTTCTGGCAGAAAGTAGGATTTGGTTGATGGAGAAGGTCTCAGGGCCAAGGTGATGTGCAGGGGCAGGAGGGCACCTGAGAAAATGTTCTGTGCAATGTTCTGCACTTCCTGATCCACTGCTTGTGCAAACGAGGTATAACTAACGTGGGAGGCGAATCTTTGTGAAGGAAAACCTTTAGAGTTTGCAAAGCAATAATTACCTAGTCATGGAGCTGTCAGACATCATAACAGAAGACGATATATCCAAGTAGTAAACACAGTCTTGTAGCTGGTGACTTCTTCAGAAACCACCTGGTGCTATCTTTGCCTTTTCATTATTGTTTTGAATGTTCCATAGTAATACTCCTGTAGTTCGAGCATTAGCCTTTTCTGGCACCCAAATGTTTTATTATATTGAAGTTGTGGCTTTTTGATTGTCAAAATGGACAGAATTTAAGATGTTCCAGTAACCATGAACAAGAGAAATATTTATCATTGGGTTTTTTGGGTTTTTTGTGGGTTTTTTAGAGGTTTAAATGCTTTAACCTATAAAAAGCTGTAGGGCAGTATCAGCTTTAAAAAGGGGGGAAGGGGAAAAAAAGTTCAACAAATTCCTTTTAATGTTCTGCTTATTACATTAATGGCACTATCAGGATCCAAAGGCCAATCCAAGAAAAACATGCAACTAGTGGTAGTTTTTGTTTTGTTTTGATCTTTCCATCCTCTTACTTTGAATTAGCCTGCCTTTACTATATTGTCAGGTAAATTAAAAGCATTCACATTGTTCGTTCAGTTACTTACGGGAGCTCCCCAATCTTTTGTGCCAAGCTGTCTTTCTAGTTGGTGATTCTGTTTTCATTATGTTATTTGTTTTGTTTATACAAGCCAAACGAAAAAAGAAGAAATTAACTCAAATGTGTTTTCAACAATACACACTATTTTTAAAATCTACTTTTAGTCTTTCAGTCTTTTCCTTTATTTCCTTATTCAGGTTGGATTTTTTATGTAATAACAGGAGTGGAAGCCTGGAGATTCATCTTTAGTAATGAACAATTATTAACTCTATTATAGCTTTCTAAAAATATGTAAATTCCTGCTCTTGGATTTTGTATGTGGTTTCCACTGATAGTTTTTTCAACCTTTTATATAGATGTGAAAGATACTTTAAGAAGGTAGGAGGACAAAACACTTTTCAAACTACTTTATTGATTTTTAAAACAGAATACTACTATTTTCTGGTCATAGATATAAAAGCTCATTTTTCCAGATGTACTTAATAAATATAGCTGTGTGTATAAAAGCTTTCTTGGCTAGAAACTGAGTATTTTCGTTTTCTAAACAGGTGTCTCAATGCATGTACCTACTGCAAAACTAAGCATGCTAGAGGAGATCTAGCAAGTTATCCAGTTGAAGAACTAGTGGACAGAGCCAAACAGTCTTTTCAAGGTAAGGAGCTTTATCCCTACAATAAAAGTCAGCCTCTGAAAGCTTTTCTTTTATGAAGCTTATCTGTAATCGCCACAAAATGTCTCCTATTGCTTAGGTTTGTACAATCACTGCTGTTGTTGCTGTGAATTGGATTGTCCGTTATGATAGACAGGAATCCTGTCATGTCTCAGATTTCTTGTTTTAATAGGACAAGTTTCTAAAACCTTGTACACACATTATGAAATGGTCAGTAACTGCAATACAGGATGTATAAATACACTTACTATTTTGGTGGAGAAGCAGTTCAGGAAACATGTTTCAGAAAGCTAGAAGTTTTCAGTAGTACAAGACGATTTTGAAATCGGTAAGTAGTCACTGTGTAGGAGAAAAGCTGCCATTTGATGGTTATGGTTATTATTATGCAGTAATTACCAGACGGAAGTAAATGCCTGGTGATAGCAAGACATGTAGGTAGAAAAGGAACACTACATTCTTTTCGTTTCATCCAGGTGTGTCTCTGAAGTACTTTTATATTATGAGTAGCGTAAGAATAGTGTTATTCTGATAGCACTATATAGCTGTTGAAATGTTCCAAAGTAACTTTGAACAATTCAGCAAAGGAATACGATGAAGAGAAGTGAAGTTATGGGTAATACAGTCAGGATTTTGGTCTTACTTAGGTTAACTATTTAAATATTATTTAGATTTATTGTATGTATGCAAAGAAAAAAAATTCAGACTTGTCTGTCCTGTTATAGTTGTATTTGCATGCGATAAAGTCCACATTAAATTAACATAAAGATGTATTTGCTTGATATAACAAGAAAGAAAACTCGAGTTTTGTTTGTCTTTGCAGACAATAAATGTGAAATTTTGGAAAGTATTTTGAACTTCAAGTATTGTATATTCGGATTGAAAATTCAGTAATTCAATTCATCTGTTGTACTGTGGCCTTTATTATAAATATTGACTCTTTCAGAATAACTTGATTTCTAATGGAAAAACTTGCCCTTAAGCTATTGTTTTGAAATTTCTTGAAGAAATGCTATGACGTGTCTCACAGCAGGCATCGCCAGGGAGTTCTATTCTTATTTGGCCTTACACTAGTACCTTTGTTAGAGGACATAAGGAAAGAAGCAAGTACTGAGTTGTAAAATGACAGGCTTTGCCTCCAGCTTTCACACACTTAGAAACAGGCATGAAATAGTCAGATACTTAGTTTGCAGTGTATGAAGAATTTATTAGTGCCAGCTTGCTGCAGCTAGGCTGCAGAAACTTCATCAATCCAGTGAAAGACTTAAGCAATTCAAAGTCATCATTAAAGTTCTTGCTGAGTTACTGAGCCACAATCTCTTCAACAATCACTTCTGTTTTCTCAGAAGATGCGTTGCCAAAGCTCTAGTGGAAAAATACAGAGAGGTACAGATGTGTGATGAAAAGTTTTTCCACTTTGGAATTATTCTTGGGAGAACTGAGGTGTCTTAGAAGAACAGCAGCAAAACAGTATGTGATGATTTTCTGTAACTGTATGATCAAGTCATGTAAGAAAAGAGAGACTGATGTCATTTGCAGTATTTTGTATGTATATATTCTCACAGTACACAACTTGATAGACCCCAAAGGTGGGATGTTTCATTTGTGGAACACACTGAAAATGGATTAGAAGAGTTGCATTTAAGGACGTTTTGTTACAGGTCCTTAAACCTCAGCACAAAAAAGCTCTCTAAAATGCTTTATTTGGGTGGTCATACTTTGGTAAGATTGCAGCTGACATCTAGAAACAGTATTTCTAGCAGCAATATGTTGCCAGAACAGGCTTTAGTGTTGTGATCTAGATACTCCCAATTTTTCTTCAGTCACTTCTGTACTGCAGCCTCTGGGTAGGATGTCTCTATGTAGGAAGTATTTCCAAGCTGTAGTTTATGCTGCATTACTCGTCTGCAAGCCATTTCAAGTAGTCAGTGGACCAGTCTTGGACTGCTAATGATATGGTACATAATAATATGGTATCTATTTGACAGCAGTTGTATGGTGGTACCTGACAGTCATCACTCTTTGATGTTTGTCTCCAAGATGACTTCTGAAGATTTTTGAAACTCATAGGCATTTTAGTCAAAATTTAGCTCTGTGACTTGATTTAGCTGCTGGTTTTGAGAGTTTTGCATACTTTGTGTAGGTAAGTAGGTATTTATTTCAGTGTATTTGAGGATCCAAACCTCTATCTTTTTGGTCAGTTTTGTGAAAACAAAATTTAATACTCTGCTGAGAGTGGTAACTAAATGACAGCAGATGACAAAGCTGTAATAATTTATGTGCGTGTTCAGATTATCTGTATAAGCATAAACTTGATTTAAATTAACTGATTAAAAAGAGATGGCTGAAATTATCATGACTGAACAGATATCAGCCTATATCTTGTACTTTTCCAACCTCTGAAATAAACCACTTTTTAAATTTTATTTTATTTTAATATCTTAAATTCAATATAACGTGCACAAAAACTAAGTGTGTTGCGGGTTTCTAGTACATGCTGTATACTTTCATAATACATTGAACTAAGTGTTAAGGTGTACTAAAATTGAGTTTGTTTGTGTACTTTGTACGGGTTTGTCTCCTGTCTGACCTCCATAGTAGTTTTGAAGTTACAACTGACATCAACTTTAATAATTAACAAAATTTCTTTAAAAAAATAATCTATCTGAATAGACTATAGAGGTTTTCCCTTTTTTAACTTTAATGTTTTTTCTGTACTTTTCAACTTTTAGTAAGTAGTTGTATCGTTTTTTTACATTGACAGCCTTGTCAAATCACATTGTATAGCAGGCTTCTATAAGACAACTAGTAAAAGAAAAAGTATTGTGAAATATAGTAAAGTGGTCTTTGAGTAGAGAACAAATGTCTACTGTAAGGTTGTTTATGCAAAGAGGTTTTCTGCAGCTGATAGTACAGCACTTTCTTTGTGTCATCAACTTAGCAGTATGTTTTCTTCAAAAATTGCTGTATCATGTTCAATGCTGTATTTTAAGGAATTGCATTTGCAGTTATGAGAGAGCTCTTTCTTTCCTTCCCAAGCTACTTTATGTATAACAATGTGTTTTTGCTTAGTATATGAAGTGGAAGGCTGGGGTAGCTGCCATTGGTGAACAGTGTTCCAAGAAGACGCAAAAGTTAAAACAAGCCTGAGCTTTGAATGTTGTGTGGAGTGGTGTCCTGGGATAGCTTTGGCTAAATTGCAAGACTTTAAACTGATTTTTTTTTTAAATGGGATTTTAGTGACCATAAAAAGATGTATCACTGGTAATGCTACCTGGTGATTTGTAAACCCGACATATTGTGAGAGACTTTCTGGGCAAAGATAGTACTTTATATTGCCAACAATTTTTGCTGGTTCAGCAAACTAAGTTTTTTTTTTTAAAAATAGGTTTTTGGGATTAGTGGTTATTTCATTCTAGTTTAGAATGAAAATCTTCTGCATGTACCAGTAAAAAATTACACATCTTTAGCATTGCACGCCTGTTGCAGATGGCAGGGAATATACTCCTATTAAAATATACACTGTATAATTGCTACTGTATTAGCTTATTTTATGGTAGCAACCAGGGAGCTCAAATGAAAGTCAAGTCCTGTTGGGAAACATTGTTCTTGCATCCTCAAGCTATGAGGAACAATTGCTTTTGGAAGAATAATTGCAGTGGCAAAATATAATTTATTTTTATTTCATTATTTGTGTGATGGGTCACTGGCATGCATGGTGTTGAATTCTGAGTAACGCTTCTGTTTAGGAAATCTTGGACAACATGTAGCATTACAAAGCAGAGGAGCTATCTAAACAAAGATTTTGAGTCTTGACTTTAATTAGTCATCTTTAGCAATTATACTTAATCTTGTAGATTTTGAAGTGTTGAGAGTTTAAAGGAGATCAATGTTAAATATTTCTCTCTCTACAAGCATTACTGTAAACAGATGTTTATGCATAATGATAAGGATTGATTTTATATAATGTGACTGGTTTCCAGAGCTTTTCAGATCACTCTGAGCTTTGCTAAGGATCTTTTGGTTTTAGTAGTTCTGATGGAGTGGTGTCAAGACATTCTGCTTTGTTACTTGGTAATTGTTTTTCTTCCTGCACAACTACCAGTAAGCTCTCTGTATGTTTTCAGAGCATCTGCCGTTCATGAAAGGACAAATATTAAGTATCAGCAATGTTTTCAGTTTCCCATTAATTGGCAGAAGCAGTACCAAATTAGGATGCTTAGACTATGTCTTCTCAGTAGTTGATTTGGTCTTTGAACACGCTGCGAGGGACTGGGTGACCAGTCACCCAGATGGATACCTGGGCTGTGTACTCAGATCCTTCTAGGGGCGAAACTAAGACTGTAGAGAGAGTGGTTGTTGTATATACAGGTCTCACCTTGATGCGAGATAAACACTTACTCGGAGCCTGGACACAGACCCAGGTCTCCGCTAAGCTGTGTTAGTGGTTTCAACATGGCCTTTGTTAATGATCTTAAGCATGCCCCAGGAAAGCTTTCTTAACTAATCTTAATTCCTTGCTCATTAATATTTTTGTCCTCCTAGTGTCAATGTTCTGTCAAATAAGTATATGTATCTATTATAGCCACACCAATGTTTTTCTTCTGTAGTCTAACAGCATTATCAGAAGTCAAGCATTTTCTCGTGCTTCTTTGTCCTAAATTTTATTCAGCAATTTCTGCAACAGTCCTGAAAGAAAGCTAACTCTTCATCACACGGCTAGTATGGAAGAAGAGACTTTGTTGAGAAACCTGTTGGATAACAAATCCAATACAAAAAAAGTGCACTGGTGTTACTCATTGATATCTGGGAACTGAGTTCCCATTGTTCATATAAACTCATATCTTGACAATGTGCAAGCTGATACTTGATATTGATTTTGTGGCTGTCAATTAATTTCCATGCTTGAAAATGCTTGGAAACTCCCTGAAATTGAGTCTGTGCTGTATGGTTCAAACACATGGTCAAAGGCTATGACTCTGTTG